AAAAAAATGTTGTTTTTCTCTTTGAAACATTTATAAATTGGCAAAGAAGCAGCAACTTTAATGGGAAGAAGTGTTTATAAATTGGCAAAGAAGCAGCAACTTTAATGGGAAGAAGTGGGAATTTCCCTCTCCTGTGTGCAGGTATCAAGGTATATGCAGGTACCTGCATATCTTGTCCCCTTTGCTGGAATCCCAATTCCTATTTCCTTTTGGAATTTGGTCCTGGAAAGAGCTGAATAAATGCCAGTTACCTTTTACTGAAACCCACTGGAGGTGTGACCCTTCAAAGGGGTGGGCAATGCTGGCTTCCCAGTTCTAGTTGGGGGACCCTCTAGGGACTGGCCTAGGCCTTTGGCCCAAGCCTGTGAGCTTTAGAGCTCTTTCAACTCTCCATAACTTTGACTGCAGTTAAGGGTYACTCAGTACCTCCCAGGAGGAGGCTCTGAGTGGTCTCAGTGTTTAAAATTAATGGATTTGAGCATGAGAATCTGGCCTGGGAGATTTTAATCTGAAATTACTATTTTTAGCTTGGACTTGAAACAGATTCAAATAGCTCTTTTCTGCCTTTGATACTGTATTACTGTCTTAGATCCTTTCCTTTGTTAGCCTCGCAGGCGCCAAGTCCATCTTCGGTCTTAAGACATGTGTAGCCAGTGGACTGAGATCAGGGATGAATTTGGCTAGGGATAATTAAAATAATAAATAAAATCACAAAGTGAAGATACATAAAGCAAAAGCTTGGGCTTGGACTGGTTTCTGAGACTCTGAAAGTAATTTAAGTAATCCACGAGAAAATATGCAATGAAATCTGTTTTCCATTATTGTGTGAGTTGGTATGTCTTAGAATTTGATCAAAACTGTTTTTTTAAGGATGATGAAGACAGCACAGCTTGAAGGGATCTATAGATCTGAGGGCTTTCTTTTTTTTTTTCAGTGTAACATTTACAAATTATTATAGACTTGACTTTATGTTCATTTGCTGATAAAACTTGCTGTTCCTATCTCAATCTGAGAATATGAGAGAATCTGAGAATATGAATCTCAATATGAGAATAATTTGTAACTGTAGCGTAGCTATCGGTATTTTTGAAGGAAACGGTGGTAAAAGCTCATTATTGAGACATACGTGTGTGATAGCTTCTTCCCTAGACCCTGTTTGTTATATACGAACATGGATGTGTGGTTGCTCTCTTAGAGACCCATCATGSTGCTAGGATTTTCCAGCTGTGAAGTTCTGAGTGCCTTCCAACCTCCATGGTGGTGAGCAACAACATGCACAGTTCAGTGTGGAGAAAGCCTGTATAATCCAGCACATCAGTGAGTAAACAGGGCTGGAGGAATCCGTTCCCAGGCCTGTCACTTCTCCCCATCTGTGCTCCCTTTGCTAGCTTTGCATTCCTATTCCCACACCATCAGTTGATCCCTTTTCTTTCCTAACTTTTAACCACATCATATTTTTGTTGAGGGATGTCCTTGCCCAGTCCTCTGAGGGGATTTCTTTGGAGGCTTCATCTGTTTACTCAGGGATCAAATAATAGACCACTGAGTTTCACCAAGCCAAGATTTATCAAGGCCATCAAGGACTGTGAATGTCATTGACTAGGAATGGGTCAGAAAACAAGAAGTCTGTTTCCTATTTTCTCCCTTGGTACTACAGGGAATTCTGCCTCAGAGAATTTATGAAAATGTCAATAAGTCAAATAAGAGTGTTCCGGATGTTCACAGTAATAATTTACCAGCTGGCAGGGCTTGTCTGTTTACATCCTCCGTAARCATCTCATGGGACAGAATGAAGCCTGGTTTGGGGTACTGGGTTGAAAGCAGCTCTTGGGGCATCTGCCAGTACGTTTGTGTTCTGTATAAAGTCAGCTGCTGTGGGATCTTATGCCACTGCTGTTTTAAGGTAAGGTGAATAAATAGGCTTGAGGTCTCTTTTCTACTCAGTTGGGAAACTCATTCCGTAACTTTAAAGGCAGTTAAGATGATGACTCTTTCTGAACACTTCTGATATTGCTGAAAACAGAAGCTTCAGTCTGGTTAGATCAGTGCTGTCTGATTTCGTGTACAGGCCAACAGAAAACCCAGTAGGTTCTTCCAGTGCCTTGTTTAAATGGACTCAGCAGCTGGCTGGGTGAGAGAGGGAGACTGTGCAATTGAATGATTGCAAATTCAGTGTTTTGAACTATTGATGCTGTTGCAGAACTAGCAAGGAGGCATCTCRGAGAACACGTCAGAGCTCACTTGCTTTCTCTCTCCCTCCACAGGTGCATGAGCAGGTGAATTAGCCTTTACTGCTAGAACATTTCTCCCTACAAGTGCGGAGAACAGAGATTAGGCTCACCTAGACCACTATTCCAACAGCAAGCAAAAGCAGCATTCGAATAAAATRTTGAGGAATGTCTCAGCAGTGGCATCGCTGTGAGGACGCTGAGGTTTTGGTGGACCATAAGCTCAGTATGATTTATGAGTTGGTGCTTTGGGAAGAAGACTAAGCACGTAGCAGCAAGAAAGTCCTGTGARGCACAGCAGTAGTTATGCCTCTTGGGCAGGTATTCTGAATTGGGCATCCATATACTTGAAAATGTGTGTAGGGAGACTGCACCTTTCCGTTGGGAAGATTGCTCTTCCTGTCCATTTGAAGCACGGGAATATTTGGGGACACTGAGAAGCAGCAAATTGGAGTGGATTGGAAAGGTGTGTTGTCATGCAGGGAGCTCCCTTCCAGAAATGTTGATACCTCCCGTTGGCTCCAGAATTTCAGGTTTACAGTGTAGTACTGGGATTGACTCTACAGAAACCATTAAAAATTAAAAGAAATAATAAAAAAAAAAAAAAAAAAAAAAAAAAAAAAAGGAAAGAACTGAGCATCCCTGTGAATTAGAATGTCAGAGTTAAAATTACTAAGATAGACAATTTCAAGAGAATTTTGTAAGAATCTAAACCTTACACTTCAAAAATAAACCTTTCTAATGAATGAGGAAAGGAAGGGTGATGTTGACACCTCTCGCAGGAGGGGATATGTGATTTGTGCTGGATACRGCATGCAGACTGCATGCATGTAAAATCTATAAGGCTGACCGAAGACAATCTAGGTATATTGAATGGCTGTAAATGCCTGAAATGCTTTGGATTTCATAGAGTTGTACCTATTTTGGGGCTGGGGATGTTTTGCTCCAAAGAAACTAGTTGAACTGACTCTTAGAGAGAGCAGGGAACCTGTAGCCACTTCTATTTCTTCCTCGGTTGCCAACAGTGCAGYTTACCAAGAACGGCTCCATCAGTGATGGATGAGTGCTGAAAACTTCAGTGAAGTCGGTCAAACATTTAGCTTCCTTCTCTGATCCCAGAAAATGTGGATCAAGGAATTAGGTTGGGAATCTTGAAGGGTTTTTTTCCGAAGTTTAGAAGAGATTAAAAGCTTGCTCTCTGACCTCTTTCTCTTGGGGTTGCATGCTTCCCTGTTCATAAGGTTTTCCGTGGGTCTTCATACTGTGGCCGAAACACGAGGAGGAGGCTTTTCCTGATTTTAGCAAATGCTAGAAGTTCAGAGGAATAGTGGGCAAAGTTAGCAATGGACAATCCCAACTTATGGGCTGAGAAAGAATGTGCTATGGGGTTCACGTTATTGTGTAGGTTGCTGCTGATGGTGGAATCAAAGTCCTGGGTGAAGAATCACAAACTTGGTCAATCAGTGGGAGTGTTTTCCTGGGTGGTGGAAAGGTGGTCTGGCAAGCCTGACCAGCGCGGAGCACTTTGGCTCGGTAGGTGAAGCTGCACAGCGGGATAAAAGCGGGACAGATTCAGCTGTTTTCACCACTCTTTTGTTCTCTTATTCCTAGCGAGTTACTGCTTCTTGGACAAGGTGGGAAGAATCTGTGGGATTTCATTCTTTAACAAAAGCATCCTTTTTTTCCCCAATGTTAATTACTCATTTGTGCCAAACTGGGAATGAGAAACAGAGTTTAAGGATCTAATTAACATTTGCTTCCCCTTTCAGCAGATCGGTCTTTACTGTCATAAACTCTGTGATGAAACTATTTTTGCCTAGTTTCTTGTCATCTGAGACTCCTCCAGCCTCCACAGGCTGAGTTTCCAGTTTAGGAAAACAAACAAACCRAAAAAGCAAAGCTAGAAAGAGTATCCCACCACTTTAGAGAAAGGACAAACATCATTCTTTTGTCCACATGTCTTCCTCTCAGCTCAGCAGTGATTATCGCACATGCTAGAAGTAATTTTTACCATGAGGGCTTCTTCACACAGCTTTTGTTCCAATATATCTGTAGCAGGCACTGCTAAGGAGGAATTTTTTGGCTTGGTTTGGCTTGTTCCCATATAGGCATAGGCAATATATGTAGCCTATGTAGCCATAGGGCTATGTCTAGCGAAGGCAGCGTTATCCTGATCAACATGGTCTGGTCTAGTTAAAGCGGTGAACAAGCATAGGTTTAGGTTCTTGCTTTGGATGCAARCCAAGGAGTGTCACCTTTTTTTTTTCTTTCTTTTTTTTTTTTTCCAGAAATATTGCTTCTCAGAAACAAGGGCTAGAGGTTTTGATTCAGATTTCTTAATTTTGGAAGGCATTTTGAGGTTGCTAAAGGTGCTGTATTTAGTCATAAAAATAACAAAATGAAAAATACATAAGTGTATTTATAGTAAGAATAATGAAGATTTATAGAGTAGCGCTAGCTGCGGTGTTCCTTGCATAGGAACTCTATATTGAACAGAGTGCTTGAATGTTTGGCTTTTAAAAAGAGGGGAAAAAAACAAAAACCAGATGAATAATGAGAAACAAATCCTTCTTCTGGTGAGAAGCCAAACCTGTGTTTTGAAAATTTAATGTTTTTTGGTTTAAGCAATGAAAAAAATGGACTTGATCTTTGCAGCAGCTTGGATTTATTATTGGAACCAGTTGGCTGTGCCACAGAGGAGAGGAATTTTCTGGTAATTAGAGCAAGAAACTGGGAGTCAGAAGCATTAGGGTCTGGTTTTGACTCTGGCACTAACACACTGTAGCCTTGGGAAACATGCTGCCTCATTTGTACCTTGGCTTTCCCATCTATAAAATGGGGCTAAGGAAATAATTTGGCTTCCCAAATTGCAAGCACTAATTAAAGGACGTTTCTCCAGCACCTTGAGGTCTCTATTGTCAGCGAGCGGCTTTTCACAAGCCTGCGGTTCAGACGCTTTTGCAAAGCCTTGCCCTAAACATTTACAAACCTGATTGCCCAGATTCCTAAATCCACGTGTGGGCATCTAATTGAAAAGGGCCGTGTTTCCAGAAGCCTGTCCGCTGCTGCAAAGGAGCACGATGGGGAGTGTTTTGTCGCTGGACGTAACTGTGAAAACAGAGCCATCACGGGACTCTCTCCCACTGGGATCCTGCCATTTAGCACGGCCCATTCCACAGGCTCCCGACAGAAACGTCTCATCCCTGTGGGCTTCCCATGTTAGGGCTCCGGTGGAGCAGCTGCGAAAGAGGCAGGTGGGGGACGGCCACCCTGGGCAGGACGAGCGCTCGGCGCTCCCCAAGGGCTGCCGAAACGCTCCTTGCCCCGCTGGATCCGGCTCCCTTAGCAAGGCAGCCGCCCGAGTGAATGGAAGTCCCGGCTGGCTGCACAGCCTCGCCGCAGTCCTGTGTCCCGCGCTCAGCTCCTGCAGCGTTCCCCTCGGAACGGCCGCGTGCTCGGCCACCCCTTCCCTGGGATGCCGCTGTGGTCGGAGAGCAAAGGGAACGTCGCTCRCCCTGGGCTCCCGGAGCCGGGAAACGCGCACTGACAAGACAGGAAATTCTCGCGAACCACAAGGCCCTGGAACTTGCCTCTTGGCTTCCTGTGGGCCTTACCCAGGTTTCAGCTGGGGTGTATAAAGATTATTAATAGCAATAGTTGCATTAGCAGGTCTATGTTTTTCTTTTCCTGTCAACCCAGATATTTCTTCATGCGAGACCTTCGGCCTGCTTTTATCCAAAGTAGCCAGAGTCGRACCCAAGAATATGGCAGTGCAGGGGTTCAACAATCCTTGTGCCTAGCRGGAAGCCAAGCAGGGATTTCACCTTATGGAAGGTTCTCGAAAAGGACTGGGTCTGAAATGCCTGTGCAAAACAAATAGCTCCAAGCTGGGGCAGGCTTCGCTTTCACAAGCGTTTCCTCCAGCAGCGGGGCATTTCCACAAAGCAGACGCT